TCCCTTCCACATGTAGTCTCATTAAGCCACCTCCTTCCATTCCTAAATATTGTCCATCATAGCTGGGGGTGAAAGGGGTAGCAGTCCCCCCTGGGCTCACTCTCCAATCTGGAATATACTGCCTTTCACTATGGAGTCCCCTTCTTCAGAGGGTTTTAAGCAGAGGCTGGATGGCCATCTGTCAGGAGTGCTTTGTCTGTGGATTCCTGCATGGCAGAATGGGGTTGGACTGGGTGGCCCTTGGGGTCTCTTCCAAGTCTAGGATCCTATATTCTGCACCCACCTTCTGGCTGTAAGCAAGTAGGGTAGGTTCCTTATTCTGTCTCCCTAAGTAGGTGAGAAGCAATAACCCCCTTATTTCACCTTGATCTGGGAATAGCTTTAACTAAGATTTCTGTCTTAATTTCAAAGCAGGAAAACACATTCTCTGTGTGTCTGAATGGTGAACTAAAAAAATTGCCTGCTTGCTTGCTTTCAGAAAACAAGCACTTCAAAGCTAGCTTAGGCAATGTTGGTATAACAGATATTTATTTTAATTGCATTGTTTAATTCCAAATGTCACTTTGTCTCCTTTTTTCTCTTTGAACACTTCGATGACTGGGTTCTTCCCTGCCATGTAATTTCTACGGTTTTGAGCTGAGTCACTTAGCTAGATCACCAAAAGCAGTATTATTATTGTTGTTGTTATTTTTTTATGATTTAACTTCATCATCAAGCTTTATCAAACTACTCAATTTCATTTACTACACATTGGGAATGTCTTTGTTGATGAAAGAAACAAGCCACTGACTTGCACCTAGAACAAAAGGAGGAGTGACTGCAACAAAGAAGCACAACACAATGTTTTATTTTTATAAATTCCATGCCTGAGGCATACTGCTGAAATCAGATTTTGGGGATATACTCCAGGAGGCCCTAGATAAAATTCAATCCTGATTACAGGGCACTAGAAGGCAGAGGGCTGGCCTTATTTCACAATTCTGTAACTATCGGGCAAATCTGATGCTAAAGGCACTGGGATATTGCTGGAGAGGGCTTCTAGGACATCTAGTTTGGAGATGATCTTTTGAAACGGCATTTGCCTGCATTAACAGAATCACAGTTTTCAAGACAAGGAAAATATTTGCCTCACTATATTCTGGGCTACTCAGGCAACACCTGCAGAACTGTGTTCAGTTTTTAGCACATTTTAAGAAGGATATAGAATCATAGAATCATAGAGTTGGAAGAGACCGCATGGGCTATCCAGTCCAACATTCTACCATGCAGGAACTCAAAATCAAAGCATCCCCAACAGATGGCCATCCAGCCTCTGTTTAAAGACCTCCAAGGAAGGAGACTCCACTACTCTCCGAGGGAGTGTGTTCCACTGTCGAACAGCTCTCACTGTCAGGAAGTTCCTCCTAATGTTGAGCTGGAATCTCTTTTCCTGTAGCTTGCATCCATTGTTCCTGTTCTCTGGAGCAGCAGAAAACAAGCCTGCTCTCTCAATATGACATCCCTTCAAATATTTAAACAAGGCTATCATATCCCCTCTTCACCGTCTCTTCTCCAGGCTAAACATACCCAATTCTCTAAGTCGTTCCTCACAGGGCATGGTTTCTAGACCCTTCATCATTTTAGTTGCCCTCCTCTGGACACGCTCCAGTTTTTCAACATCCTTTTTGTATTGTGGTGCCCAGAACTGGACACAGTATTCCAGGTGAGGCCTGACCAATGCAGAACAGAGTGGCACTATTACTTTCCGGCTCTACACTTCTATTGATGCAGCCTAAAATCACATTGGCCTTTTTAGCTGCTGCATCACACTGTTGACTCATGTTTACCTTGTGGTGTACTAGGATTCCTAGATCCCTTTCACACGTAGTCTCATTTAGCCAGGTGTCCCCCATCTATGCTTTTCATTTTTTTTGTCCTAAGTACAGTACCTTAAATTTCTCTGTGCTGAAATTCATTTTGCTAGCTTTGGCCCAGCTTTCTAATCTATTAAGGTCATTTTGAATTTTCATCCTGTCTTCTGGGGTATTAGCTATTCCTCCTAATTTGGTGTCATCTGCAAATCTGAGAAGCATGCCCCCTTTTCTTTCATCGAAGTCATTGATAAAGAGGTTGAATAGCACTGGGCCCAGGACAGAGCCCTATGGCACCCCACTGGTCATTTCTCTCCAGGATGAAGAGGAGCCATTGCTGAGCATTCTTTGGGTTCGGTCAGTCTACCAGTTACTAACAGTTGTATTGTCTAGTCTACATTTTATTATCTTGTTTGCAAGAATATAATGGGGGACCTTGTCAAAAGTCTTACTGAAATCAAGATATGTTATGTCTACCGCATTTTATCAATATATATATAATATATATAGTCAGGTTCAGAGAAAGGCAACAAGGATGATAAGATGGAGGAAGGGAAGGAAAAGTAAAAAAGAAACGTGGCAGCACCTTTAAGACTAACTGGTTTTTATTTTCACATGAGCTTTTGTGGACGTAACCCCACTTCTTCACTACAGTACACAGGGAGATTAAAGCCTCAGGTATAAAGCATATTTATACAGTTGTGCGACTGTGAAAGCATGTAACAGGATCCAGAAAATGCAATGCATGTTTGGTGCACTAAATTTTTAAAGGGGCAAGTAAGGCGATACAGGTCTTTCAGATCTGTACAGTGGTCCTTTGGTACTGATGTGTGAAAGCAATAAATCTGCTTACCAAAAAGTCACTTTCCCAGGGCTCAATACTCTCTCTGAATAGATTCCTTTTGTTATATGTACAGAAGCAAGGACTCTTGTTTTAATTTATAGTGTGCCACGAAGCCATTGTGCCATGAAGCCAACCTCTGCTAATGGATTGGGATTTGTCAATAATTGAATACAGCTCTTTCTCTTTCTAATTTTCCTTGTAATTTCCTAGTTCAAGTACTGCAACTTGTAAATCCCTTTTTTATATGCCCAGGAAGGTTGAAATGTACCACAGTTGGTTTGGGGGTATTGCCATTTCTAATGTCAGATTTGTGTCCATTTATCCACTGTCCTGTTTGCCCAATGCAGAGTGTAAAGGAGCATATATTGCATTGGAGGACGGCAAGTAAATGCACCTCTGGTGTTGTAGGGGATGCTATTGGCCCCTGTAATATTGCTCCCAGACTAGATATGGGCACAGAGTTAGCATCTGGGTTTGTGGCAGGGTCTTGTCCCTCTTTTACCATCCATGTTATATATCTTGTAACTGAGTAGTTCTTTAAGATTTGGAGGCTGTCTGTAGGTCCCTTAAGAAAGGGTTGTGTTATCCTCCAACCCACTGTTTGTAGCTCTTGACAATGCATTTGAGTGTTCCCAACTGGGGAACTGTGAGTGACGACTAAGGGTGTTCTGTCATTTTGTGGTTTTGGTCTGTCTTGTAGTCGATGGTTTCTG